TGAGTTTTGTTGAAGCTACAGAGAAACTCTTCAAAATTTCCGGATTTGCAGCTTTATATCTTTGCATGGTTCTGTATCATCATGATTCTGAAAAAATGGTTAAAAGTTTGTACATCCTTCACCGGAAAATGTTATACATAATATGAAAATTCCGCGTAATATAGACCCCAGTGCAGATATATGCCTAGAAATAAACGAAAATCGCGCCACGCGATATACACTCCTCTTCTTGGAGGGCAAATTATTCTGCGTACTTGAAAGTAAATGTTAAGAGCGAGCCTTGTACCTTAAACTTGATGTAGTGTTCGAAGCGACTGGTAGTAAGCTTAAAGAAAGCGAAACAAAAAATCTATTTTTTATGGCTGGAGCGTTACCACTTTAAGCGACTACTGTAACTCTAATGTGGGATGGGCATATAAAGCAATCGTCAAAATAATGCAATGCAGATTTATCTTTAGTGGGCTTGAAAATGACGCATTTTCATATAATGCAGTAGCTCAAAATAGAATCTCGAGCTTCGGAAATGTGAAATGGAGTAGAGATTGACATAGATTGCAACTTTCCTTGGGATGACACATTTGCAGTTTGTTATGTTGTCCGGAGAATCTTGCAAGACAGCCTAATAAATTGAAGGGATATGAAGAAGTATAGGTGCATCTTACGCAGATGATAGGCACATTCAAGTCAGTCCTTACATTAATTAGAGACGTAACAAAGTACAAATAAAGCTCAATATGAATCCATAACATCTATTCCTACTTCAATCACCACTTCGTTCCAAATGCAGATGTGCTAACACGAACAAGCCGGCGTTGGTTTTATCTTTGTCCTATTTCAGGCCTTGAATTTGCATGTCGCTGTTCATTGGGCTTGCACACCTCGTCTGAGGGTAGGCAAAAAGCAATGAACGCCAAGAATTTCGGTAAATGGCCATTAAAAAATAATTTGATATATAATAAATTCATTCAAAGATGTTACTAAAAACACGGCTCCATGCGCATTTTTACTTCTTTCATCACCACATTTTATGGATATAAGATGCAGCATCCCTGGCTTCTTTGGTTTTTTGTGAGTGCAAACAATAATGTCTATTTGCATTCACTTCGCAAAATTATACATTATAAGAATTTGAATTCTATGAAAGAAGCCACATTTTTCGGAGAAATACTAAAGGTGATCAAAACGATCGCTGCAGGATGCTAGGTTTGAATATATTCAAATTTGAGTGATTGCGTTTTACTACACGTTTTCAATCCTTTACATTGCCATATATTTGGAGTTATTAATTAATAAATCCCTCGATGTGGTTGCAGATGATTTAATTACCACATCTTTGCTGAAAACTAATTCGAGCTCAGATGCACATACTATGATAGAGTTTTCTAAGAGAAATTGACCGATTTTTGAAACTTCAGAAACCTTCAT